CTCCGAGTATTTAGCACTAACATTTTGGAACTTATCCTGCAACAGTTTCAGGCTGCTGTAAATACCGCTGCTTCACAGTCATGCACTCTGGAGTCTTTCATGTCTCATGGTTCTTCTCCTACGCTCTCATCAGACAGCTTATATAGACATAACTTTATATAACTTACTGAGACTGACTTGCATCTGAGTTGTGAATGAGAGAATATTGCCCTTTCAACATTTTGCATATGCATCTTGCCCTTGTAACTTCTCTTTCACATTTGAGTAGGCATATGGAGTGAAGTCACTGCCAAAAGTGAAATTTCACCCATGCAGTCCCAACCCGTTTGGCATTTTTACTCTAATCCCTGCATAAATCTGTAATAATTTGCTAGGTGCCAAGAAACACTCAAAATAATTTTAAAACTGTCCAGCCTTAACAGGTTTATGAGAAAGTGATACATATACTTACAGTGAACTTCATTTTGATAGTAGGCGAGCCAAGATCTGCTGGTAACTGATGTGTACTCTTACTTTTTAATACAGTAATATCCCAAAGTTAAATCTTAAAATGGGTTTACCATATTGGCACATGCCCTGTGTTCACAGAATCGTGACGGGTTTCCTGGGGAAGTGCTCTGATAAGAGGAGGCTTTGTTACCAGCCTGATTGGATTCATTACATACAGGAAGATGAAAGAAAACTTGTCATGGCGAGTTCAATGTATTTTATAGTAACTTTTAAATGAAAAAAAAAAATCAGATCTGGAGAATAGATGCCTAAAAAAATTTGTAGTGATGCTTTGTGCTTATGTGGGAAAGGACTCAGCCTGATAATTTATCCATAGCTGATACCATCTTTTAAATCAATGGAGGTGGTAATCTTGTATGTTAAAAATGTTAAGTCAGTCCCCAGAAATCATGAGGTTGGTTCTAAATCATAGAAATTACTGAGTTGTGTTGTTAACCTTCCTGAGCTTGTTCAGTTAGGATCTGCTTTCCAGTCTTCAGGCATGGTCTCTGTATCTTCACAGAGCCTCTTTATGAAAGTAGTACCTGATTATGGACTAAGAGCTAATTCTAGAAAGGGACCATGAAGTAGAGATAACAAAAAATGAGTAAGGGAGGAGCAGTAAAAATGGGCATTTTATGTCAACTATTTTTTGGAAAGTAGGTTTTAATATTTCTCTGAATTTGATAATTATATACAGAGCCACGGCATAAGAGCTTATTTGCCTTGTTTCTTGCAGAAACTTTGGGTTTTTTAATTGGCCAGTACAAATGCCTGAGTCTCTTTGCCCAGCAATATTGTCCATTGCTGCTTAATAAACTGATATATATATAGCCTCAGATAATTTGGATTTGTTTCTTAGCTGTGTCTGTTACAGAAGCAGCACTTTCAGAGGTGCTCATTTACATACTTCGAAAGCGCTTCTTATTTCATAGCAGCTCTGTCAGTCCCTCTGTATACTACTTGTGCACTTTGCTGTGGTTCAGTTCGGGTTTGTGCACTTAAGTTTCCTTTTTGTTGCCAGAATGGCATGATGGGGACTCAGTGTCATTATAAACTAATATCTCTGAACAAAGTTCTCCACTGTCATCGATTGCTGAGGATCATTGTTGCAGCTGTTATTGGAAAAGCGAGGGAATCTTACGTTAGTTGAGAAAGTGAGGCCCAATTTTCATGTATACCAGTCAGGGCCACAGTGTCATTCTGGTACTAACTGATGCCTTGGTCGGACTACATGAGTGTGGAGGAGGTATAGCAGTCTGCAAGCACTCTGAGTGGAGAGCTCTGTTTTTCATCTGTTTTGCACCCACTTTGCAATTTGCGTGAGGTGTAAAATATGGTGAATGAAAGTAATAAATTACTAAGGGAAAAGATTTACAGTTCTTCTAATTGGACTGATTTGTGGATGCCAAATGGAAACAGGTATGTCCTTAGCCTCCAAGATCCAAAATGCACATAAGTCTTATTTTGTATGCCATGAAATCCTTTCATAGTCTCTGGAAATTTAGTTAATTGACTAGTTCTCAAGAAAGGCATTGAGAAACTGAACTGTATAACGCTAATCCCTGTGGTGTCGTTAGCAATGAGTTGGAAAGCAGTGTTGTCCATTTCTTCCAACAACCATAGCCAATTTGGCCATTACAGTAATGCGTCACACTTGGAAACCTGAATCTCCAAATCTTCCATCAACTTCTGATTACTTGAGTAGTTTGTATGGCAAACACACACGGCTAGAGCATTTGACATTAAGAGTAGCTTACAAAACTAATTACAATAGTAAAAGCCAGGAAAAAAGTCAGGGAGGGGTGCTTTTACTGTGTAAGACCCTGTCCTTTTTCCAGTACAAGCTTGTCTCTGTATCATTTTTACAGCTCTGCTTGAGGCGTTCTGTTTCAATATGAAATTCTTGTACCACTGTGCAGCAAACTCCCAAGGCTAAGAGCTGTTCCAGTTTTAAGCCTGTTCTCAGATTAGTGTTTCATTTTGTGCACACACTTACATTTTCACATGATTTTTTTATGCCTTATTGTCTAGCAAGAATAAAACTGCTGAAATTATTTCTGGATTTATCCTTGAAGCTTGATTTTTTTTTTTTTTTTTTTGCTAACTACTGATTAATTCTGCTTGGCCTGTCCTTCTGCTGCACAGATTTTTCTAGACTGTGTCACTGTGTCTTTATCTAGTGTGTGGCATGCCCAGCTGAATGCAAATGGAAGGATAGAGAATTTTGTTGATTTTTTGAGGTGTTGCTTCATTCTTTACTTTTCTCCCACCTGCTCACTCCCTGATAAAGTAAATATTTATGAAAAGTACCTGGAAAAAAACCTATGCGTCACCAAGGGAGTCTATTATGATAGTATAATCTCACCTTAACTTGAATGAATCCATCTCACTTATGTGTTAAAATTCCTGTTTGGTAATCGGACTTGAACTGAAATTGTACAATTATTCTTTTCATTTGATGTTCAAGGTTCTTTTATTTAAATGATTTTTGGTGGATGACAGTGCCAAATAACGGGTGGAATTCTTCTGGCAATTTTACTTACGTAGATTAAGAGTAATTCTGTAGTTTAATCATGTTTCATTGGGGTAAATTAGAATGTATTTGAAAATATTTGGCCTTATGAAAGTAACAGAGAAACTAAGTTTCCCGTGACAATAAACGTTGCTGTGTTGTAACAACATATTACTTGTTTGGAACATTACTTAAATTCAGTTTTCTGCTGGCTTCCCTGATATGACCAATCTGACTGCAAGTGTAACAGTTGAGGAAAAAGCGATTGTATTTGGGGAAAAGTTTGAGAATCTCCACTTAGATCAAAAGTATTGAAAGCAAGAACACTACTTTGAGAATGTGGGCATCATTGTGAAATTTCATGTTCTCTAAGGGGTTCTGAGTCACAGCTTCCTAAGCTAAACCTCACTCTGCCTGAGGACTGGCAAAAGTGAAATTAGAGCAGGTTATAGCCTTTCTTATGCAGCTCTTTACTTCAGTTACTTAATATAGAAGGGCGCTTAGAGGACTCTGGCGTAGTCATGGATGGTCTTGCCTCCGAGTGCATGTGTGCTAATTTCGGGTGTATTACTGGGAGATGTGTGATTAACTGTGGGGGAAAAAGTCTCCAAAAAGCAAGGCTTTCCTATTGGAAGTATATCTACGCTTTGCCTGAGACAACTAGGAGTATGTTCTCTCTTGCAATAATATTAATGTCAAATGCTTTTTAGAAATTAATCTTTACTTTTTGGCCTTGTCTGATCGGATCAGCAAAATTCAGGCAGTCCAATGTAAGGTGAAAATCATGAGATCATGGCTATCATAATTCTCCTTCACTAAATAACTGTCGATTTCACATGTTGCTCTGCTCTTACCTGTGCCTAAGCATATTGATGCTTAAGAAAGCAGAAGCTCATGCTTTTTGGGTATTTTTCAAAAGAAATGATTCTATGAAGACATGATGACTAATGAAAAGTTAATTTAAGCTTTAGTTTAAAAGCATTTAAAACTTACTAAAGCTTTTTGGTTTAGCTTGTGGTGCCTGAACCCTCTAGATTCCCGCTATGAAAGGCGTATTTGACTGCTGAAATCTACTCTGAGTATTTCTGACATATCTGTAATCTTAGAAACAAAGAATCTTTTGAGAAGAAGGAACAGAGCCAGCTTTCAAGAGGAGGGTAACATCAGTCTAATCTAATTAGTCTAATCTAACCGTGCTTGTCACAATTTGATATCTGTTTATCTGATTTTGATATATCGCTTAGCAGCACAGCTTTGTTATACTTGAGATAACATTGTCCATGCTGTGGAGTTAGGTAGAATAAAGCAAATTGAGGCCTGTTTGCTGAGAGAGATTTCCATACAATCTTTTTCACCTTTTTTCCGATGACTGAGATTACAGAAACGTGTTGGCTGTTAGGTTGAGTTCTTGTTTTATTAGAAGGGAGTAGGCCTCAATTATGAGTTTTTAGTGGAAAGTAGGGTGTGATTGGTCAAGGTCCCGGCACTGGCTGACGTGGAGTCACAGATGAGGAGGAGTCCAGGCGAGGTTGTAGTTGTAGGAGAATACTTCTCATGGCAGTATCATGTGGTCATTGACGTTTTCATAAAATACAGAAAACAGAGGTAGCTTTAAAGGAGGAATGCCCATCCTGCTCCTTTTGTTTGGTAATTCTGGACAATATCCTGTTAAATATTTAAAAAAGGGAACCAGCAATAGTGGGAAGTCCTCTAAAGTTTAATCCAGTAAATAATAGCCATTTGTAGAGTGAGTGATTTTACAAAAGCTGACTTACTGAGTGCTTTTATCATATCGGGGTCAGGCTATCTGTGCCAGCCCAAAATTCAGATATGAGGCTTACCACAGCGTGGCATGTAGATATGGATTTGTTTGAGTCATGACGAAAAGTTCTGTCAAGTGTTTCGCACACCTGCAGCAAGATATAAAAGTTGAAGGTCTCTGGGATTTTCTTGCATTCTTACTTTCTGCAGCCGCTTGTTCTTATCTGAAAGAAAAATGAACGGATTTGTGAGTATATCCATTTTTGTTGAACTTGTATTATAAAAAGTTCCTTATTTTTAAAAACAAAAGTATGGAGAAGAAGATGCTCAAGTAAGTGGTACAGTGCTGGGACTAATATGATCTGTGTATTGTTTCTTTGGGTTGTTCAGTGGGAAACTTGCATTTCTTGGGTGTACGGTAATCCCCCTGGAGTCAGTGGAAGCATCATTTGAGCAAAGAGTGCAGAACTTGACTACAATTCAGAAGGGGGATTTAGTTATGATTTAATAATTATGGTTGTAGAGGCAAATCAAGAAGTAACATGGCATCAAGGAGGGACTTTTGAAAAATACAAAAAAATGGAATGGTTAAGTTATTATACTGCTTTTTCAGTTACAGGCAAAAGAGCCTAATAGCAAGAATTTTACAATGAAGAATTGTAATTGTTTTCAACTAATACATGTGTTAAGTGGGTAATTTTTCAAACTGATGCTTACCTCAATTCATGAACTGGGATTTTTTATGGCACTGCCTGGTGTTTCTGTTGAGTGAGAATGCTCATTCCATTTACAGGCTGCAGTTCTCGTTTTGCTGGGAGTCTTTTGGACTCAGACTTCTGCACTGGACGTAAGTAGACTGATAAGCCTTCTAGTGCGTGTACTCATTTAAAATGTATTGGATTCCTGGGCAGGGGGCAAATATAATAGGAAGAAAAGCATAGAAGAAACTAACAAGATGCTTATTGCCAGGTGTAGAGAAAAATAGCATTTGCCAAAGGTGACAGTCATGTAAGCCAAAGAGGCAGTTCTGTGCAGGTGCAGAGTAACAAGAAATTGGGGGGGGGGCATAGGTCCGCTTAGCTCAAGCTAAAATTTGGAGGCTGTTGCAGTCTCCTGCCAGTCCCTGCTGCCACACGTAATGACTGGGATGCCCCGTGTTGTTGTTCCTTAGCCTGCAGTGAGGGCCTGTCCCGTCCTTTATCACTCTGACGCACTCTTGCATAATTAATCTCCACCTCAAGGGCCTCCTGAGACTGCTAGATGGTTGTATTTACATAAAGCAATCATACTTGTTTATTTGAGGGAAAGTATTTGTTTATATTGCACCTTTAAAAGGTGCAAGCCAGATGATGACCAATGATTTTGTGTTTTTTACCCAAGACCTTTGTCCTTCAAGAACCTCAGAATAACTATGTCACTGGAACTATGACTATCCACAATGAGAAGAATATTGTTGAAGTCCATGTCCGTTCTGGCGTGTATTCCTCTGATACCATTTTTGACTACTCGCGTGTAAGTAGATCTAAGAATCTGCCTAGACTTAATCTCCGAGGAAGTTTTTAAACTCAGAAATTATTTTAGTGTATTGTCACCATAAGTTGTTCTGAAACACTGTTTCTTTAAAGACTCCCATCACCTTTCCTCCTCTTAGGCCATCTCTTTGTTTCACCCATATGATGGTGCAGTTTAAAAGACTTGTAATGAAACCTGTGGTGGCAGTTCATGAAAGTGAGAAGAATGTCACTGACCTCAGCGAGGTCAGAGTTGAGAATGGGCTGCCATCACTCACGTATAGCAAGTGCAGCAGAAGCCTGTCGGAAAAGATACTTCCAGTCTTACGGACAGACATTAGTGTGGGCAGGCTGCTTCCGTTCCCCAAAGGCGACAATGTAAATGCAGAGTCATTCCACAATAGTAGCCTGTGTAGCCACTTTGTGTTTCTTCTAGATTGTCTTAAAGAGTAGAGAGAATCAACTAATATTAGTGGTAGCCATTTTTAATTAATTAATAAAGTGTAATTTTTTTTTAATCACAGGGGTATATTGCAACAAGGTTACTTTCACGAAAAGCCTGCTTTATCATGAAAATAAATGAGAAATACATCCCAAAGCTGCAAGAAATTGGACGCCTGGCTTTTGAGAGAGAGGTGACTTTGTAGTGAAACCCGTACTGTATACAAGAAAGGCCACTGTCTGAGAGTTGTGTGGTGTGGTGGCAGCCCTCCATTCTGCCTTTAAGAACAGCTGTTCTTAGGAATGTCTTTTACTGCGTTAGCAATGATGAAGCACGTCTGACCACGTAGAACTTCAAGGGAATATCATATAGAACATTATTTTAAGATAATGAGCAGTCATGGCCCACCCTGCAGTTTTATAGTGGAATGTCATTGTGACTAGTACTGTAAGATTCCGTGTCCTTGGAAATAGTGTAATTTGACTATTTTGGGGGGATCACAAAGGCTTTTTTTTATCCTTTTTTTTATCGTCATGCTGATATTTTGAGCTTGACATAACTTTAAATAACTTTGTTTGCAGAACAGAATTTAGAAATCGATTTACTTTGACCAGACTTTGACTTCCTTGTTCAGGCAAAGGTTTCATGAAGGTGACTGGAAGTATCGTCTGGAGATGAACTTGAGTTCTGGCCTGTTTTATGACAGCCTAATGGTAGCACATTTACAGCAAAACTTACTGCCAATTAACATAACTTATTATGATAGTAATGCAGCTCAATTTTGCTTTGTGGACAGAACTAGTATCTAGTGAACTTTGTTTCTGAATAGATTGAAAATATTTATTTTTTTTAAAAGCATATAGCTGCTTTAGCTAATGCTTTGTGTGAGGCAAAGGAAGGTGACTTTAGATTTTGGGATTTTCTCAAAGGGTGTCCTAGTAGAATGAAACCAAAGCTGCATTACTGATGATGTCTAACATTTTCTTTTTAGACCATGAGGACAGTATACTCTCCAAATAATGTGTGGGCAGAGTTTCAATCTGGCCATTCCTTTTTTGGGGATATCAAAGACTGGATTGTCTACGGTAGAGCCATTGAACAACTCTGCGCAGGTCTGCCTCTCTACGAGCTTGTTAAGACTGAACGTAAGTTGCAGGATCAGAACATTATGCTTCCCTTACAGTGTATAAGCACCTTTCTGTCCTTTAAACCTAAGTCCACGTGGTACCTTTGAGGCAGGAACATACTGCCCTGTTCTAGAGAGGAGGAGTAAACTACCTAGCAGGATTGAAAGGGTAAGGCTCTGGGATGCTTTGGAAAATGTGGTAAAGCACTGTTTTTCATCGTTAGGCGTCTAAATATCTGGAACAGCTGTTCCAAAGTGGTTTGCCTGGTGTCAGAGGAAGCCACTGTGTAGCTGTACCCAACTTATGCCCCAATGATATAGTGGTCCCACAAGGCATCTACTGTACGCCAGCATGCTACCTGCTGTATGCGGGTTATGGGAAAGGAGAAGCACAAAGGTGATTTAAAGCATACAGACATTTCCTCCCTTTGAGTTACACCATAAAAGTTTTACACAGTATCCATTGAGACCAACAGGAACCTCCAATAGGACCATACTTGGGGATTTGAATTTGTGTATTTAACAGACTTTTCCCTGCTGGATACAGGGATCTTGTCGCTGATAATATTTTCATTTTCTTGTTTGTTTTAGCACTACTGAATGGTAACCGCTGTGCTGATGCAGGAATTCCAACGATTTTGGGCATGAAAATCTGTGAAAAAGCCGATTAGGCTGGATCTTGACAATTCTGCTGCATGGAAACAGCGTGTTTCTTTGCATGCTTTTGTGATGGTAGCCGTGTTCTCCAACTGGAACAAAACTCGATGTTAGACTCTTGCCTATCCAAAGCTTTGAGCGCAACAAGCTTATGATATACAAATAAAGCTAATGCAGTAATTAAAATGCTTTGTCTTTTTTCTTCATCCAAAAGCAGAATGGAAATAAAGTGGGCCTTGCTAGTTTTCCTACAGAAGAGATATGTTTCCCTTTGGTGCATTCCTACGCTCAGGCTGCAACATGACCTTGGCATTGGTATATGCTTCATGCCAATGAAGAAACAGTAACAGGATAGTTTTTTCCAGTGGAGAACTTCCCTTTGGCATCAGCACCCAACCTCTTCAGGTGCTGACTCACCTTATGTATGATTGCTGGAGGGAGGGAGAAAACAGATGAATGGATAGAAGATGCGAGGGAGCAGATTTATATTACCAACACTTGCAAAGAAGCTTGAATTCTGCAAGGCCAGTGAAAATTTGTAGCAATTTGAATAGGTGTGATGGGTCAGAGAGCTTTTTGTTCTTTGCATTTTTCAAACCTGGATAGAGGAGACTGTGCCAGTCCTAAAAAGTAGCCCAGAATAAAATTACCCTTTCACACAATGCCAGTGTAAAAAGAGCTGTGACCACTTGCTGAATGCCCCGCATACGCTGGACAGTAGTTTGTGTCAGGAACTGATTAAAATACAAGATGAGGCAGCATTGGTGCTGCCTGCCTGCTCTTCTGGTAGATCTCAGTGAATGGCTGAATTCACACATCCTTTCCGTCAGTGCTTGGAAGGAGTGTATATTTTGCGGCTGAAGACTAAATGTTTACCGTTTATTGGAGCCTTGAATGGCTGCCAGAGGCCATGGCATTCCTTTGGAGTCCAGGAAACTGGCCCCAGGTCTGCACTTTGTTATTTTCAAATCGGACTCCTGGTCAAACCATCTGCTATTTATTAAAAGAGCATTTTGTCATATGGTGAAACTGTTCTTCTAGATTAATTGTATTCACAACAGGCTGCAGGTTCTTGGTGATCCAAAGAATGTTTCTGGAGAGTCAAACTTTGGTAATTAAATCCAGGAATACTTGTGTGTGTCTGCAAGATACGGGATAGCCTGTTTAGCTGTATTTTGAAGTTGAGCTCACTGATGGGAAGTGAAACTAGGAGTTGGAGTTGTAGTTGTGATGTTCTTGGCTGATGCACGGGGGATGTGAAACACCTCAAAGCATTCTTTGAGAGCACTGCTTGGCAAGAGTACTCGCATGGGTTGTGACTTTCAAAGCTTTTGTGGTTGCAGTATCCAGAGAGCCTGTTGTTTCAAGACCTTCAAAACTCAGTTGGAAGCCCTAATCTAGTTTCCAAGGGACAACTGTCATATTTCAACCCTTTCCTTGTGTATTCTTCTGTTAGAGGACATGGAAGTCATGACAAACCCCCCTCCCCCCCGAGTTAGCCAAGTCCTTCAAAATCTAGAAAATAACTGCCTTAATTATCTCAGGCTTTATATATATTTGGATTATTTCTTTAGAGATGCTGACCTGACATCCACTATCCAGTGGAAATTTGAAGACCAGAGATTGAAGTAGATCCCAAAGCAACAAACTGGTAGAGCTTCCAGAGAGGCAGACTAGATGTACGAACAAAGCTGAGTCTTATTATTCTAAGATTTATTATTTAATTCAAAGTTATGTAAAATAATTAGTCAATGCCATCTGGTTTTCTGTGTAATTGCAGTATAGATGAATCTGAACTTGTACTGTGTGTGCAGTGTAATAATGGTCCCTTTCGACTCTCATCCTGTTGCTACTAGTTTAATCAGAATTAGTTACTTTAAAGCGACCCTCTGCATGCTACATTCGTTTATTAATGAACAGTGTTCTGAGACATGATTGAGATCTGAGTAAAACAACAGAGTGGTTATGCATGGTTATAAAAGATGCAAGGTTAAACTCTTCCGTTGACCCAGGGATAAAGAACATTACTCATGTGAAGGGAGTCCTGTTCTTCTCTTGAATAGTTCCTTACAGATTGTGAGGACTATTCTGAATGGGCAAAATAAGGGATGCCTTGCTACCTTGATACTATCAATGGAAAACTGAAGCGCAATCTACTCTGCCTGTTTTGACTGCTATTGCGGAGATTGTCCGTGACCAAGGCAGGAACTCAATCCAGCTCTTCAGTCTTCACTGATGGCTGGGAAAAAAAAACCCTCTTTCTCTGTTTGACTGAATTTCATTTAAATTATAAGCATATTTGAGGTCTTACATTTTTTGTTCAGAAAGTATTGCATATACATCTAAAAGCTTACCAATAAGCTTTTAGTGTTTACTGCTTACTAATTTTGAAGGCAGTGTTACAAGCTCGGTAGATTTGCTCTCGATACTAGAGCAAATAGTTCTACAAAGAACTCTGAAACAAGCCTCAACACCTTATTATCTGCCATTTAATTTTGTCTGAGCTAGGAAGGTAGCGTTTCTTGCCCTTCATATACTCAAAAATGGAAGAAGATTGTTTGTAGCTTTTCTTTCAGATCACAATCTCGTATCAGTCAGACCTGTTAGCAATATATTTGCATTTTGACTGCTGTGTTTATCGTTTGATAAATAATGCTTCAGCTATCCATCTACTCCTGCAGCACCTCCAATGCCAGGGTGCACAGCTTAGAGGAAGCTTCTGGATGGAGCACCCTGGAGGCAAGTCTGTTGTGACGTTGCTGTACCTTTTGGGGTGCAGCTCACAACAAAGAGAAAAGGAAGCACAGGAAGAGTCATATACCACACGACCCATACGCCCACCTACTCCTTCCACCTGTTTTTCAGAGGATGGTCTGTTTTCATGTGAGCGCATGGATGGGCATGTTACAGCTCTGAATTTACAGACCTTTAGCCGAGGCCTGTTGGTATCACCAACTGCAGAGCAAAATAAGTTTATTCTGAATTTAGTAACTAACTACAGGACAAACAGGAATGTACACCCAGCTCTGAACAAAAGCAGAGAAAAGGACCTGTGCGGGAGAAAGAATTTTGATATTTTATCTGTTTGATACTGTAGTTGGCCAGTGCTATTTCCTGCTATTTCCTTCTTTGCTGACTATGCCACAGTTCACCATATGTTTTATTATAGTCTTAGACTATAATTAATCTATTTTTCTTATCTTGCAAGGTGATGGATGTTACTACTGGACTACAGGGAAAGACCAAGGAAGTAAAAAGCAGCAACAAGAGGTAAAGTATCCCTGAAGATATGGTCCATCTGTTGCCTTAAATAACTGTAGTCTGAAAATGTTTTCAATCTTTAAATCCACAGCCTGTCAGCAAAAGGTCTGGACTGAATGTTCACAATCTGGAGGAAATACATAGCTTTTCTTTTATTGATGACTTAACTTAGACATATGTTCTGTATAATGTGAAGCATTTGCTGTCATAGAGCTTGGTAGGTATCAGTAGCTTTATGGGTCGTCTGTCAGTAACGATCTTTTTACATTGTGATCCATGAGATTTCCTACTGGAATGGATGGAAAATTCCCACTGATTTCCACGGGAGGGACCCACAGAGGGTTGCAGCCACTTCCGAAGTGGAGAGCAGCCAGCAATTGTTCTCAGAAACAATGGGAGAGAGAGTTATGTTCACAGTCAACAAAGCGGAGTGCTTATCCTAGTAACAACTGCCTATGGTTAATGTGCAGAGTGGATTGTCCATGAGGCTTATTAGCCTTAAGTGTAAGATTAACATCTTGAAAATAGCACAGGCAACTGGTATATCTGCATCAGGAGAGGGGCAGGGCTGTGGTGATCCTACCAGGATTGGAACCCAGGTCTATCACAAAAATGAAGAAAGGAGCTGGTGCACAAGCTTAGATGCTAAAGACATATTGGCGGAAAGAGTTCAGAGAGGAAGAGAGTATCAGGATGTGACTCCTATTATCTTGAAAGTTACCCGATCTTTCCAAGAGCTTCTGTCCATCAAAGTAATATGCATGTTTTGGAAGTTTAGCTAGCTTCTCAGCTAGGCTTGTTCTATAAAAGCGTGGGGAATTTGTTTTATGTGGCAGAGAGCATATTGGGAGTGTGTCTGGGTGTGCTTGAGTGAGTATCTATGTGCGTGTGCATTGGCAGCTTTTGTAAGTTAAAACAATATTTATCCTAGGCTGGGATATCAGAATAATGCCAATTATTTGCTCCCAGCTTTTTTAAAAAGCCTAAAAGGTGTTCAAAGCCATTCCTGGAATCCAAGCAATGGTATCATTGGATGCACGCTGACAAGCAGCTAAAATATGTCAAGCATTTGGGGAGGGCAGAATTAGCACACATTCCAGTCACATCTCCAACTCTGCTGTAATTAACCTTTCTTGATCCTTATACATATCACTGGGCAGGAAGCCTCAATGGTCCCTCACTGCCAAGGACTCCAATTTATGTAGTCACCTGTGCTGCACATTAATCCAAGATCTTTTTACCACTGAACCCATTCCACTCAGAACCTCCCCCCACCACTTCCCCAAATTTCCCAGTGTACAAGACTATTTACCAAGGTCAAGGTATGACACCTTTGCCAGTTGTGATCATTTTAAAATCAGAGATTAACCTGGAAACTCTTACCCTGGTGAGCAATACCATTTAAATTGAAAGAGACTGCTTAAATTAGGAGTGGCAGATTTTCATATATCTTGTCTGATGTGTGAAAGGAAGTTTTCCAGCTTGTATCGAGTAATGGAAAGGGACAGCTATTAACATTAGCAAATTTTCCTGTATAGGACAGACTTTCCACTAGCGGAAAAAAATGAAGTCAGACTGGAGAATCAAGCCCACTATTTGAAACAAAGATTGTGTGGTCTGGGCTGGCAAGCCAAAGATGTGAATGAGTGTTCTCATTTGCTAGGTCTTTCCACCTTTTTTGTACTAACAGTGCATAGTCCTGAGGAAAAAACATCATCTCTTAATTTTAGAAGACAAAAACTTGCCTCTTGAG